CCCCACCTCCCCACTCAGCCCTGCCTCAGCCCTGCCTCCCCACTCAGCCCCACCTCAGCCATGCCTCAGCCCCACCTCCCCACTCAGCCCCACCTCCCCACTCAGCCCCACCTCAGCCACACCTCTCCACTCAGCCCCACCTCAGCCCCACCTCAGCCCCACCTCTGCCCCACCTCTCCACTCAGCCCCTCCTCAGCCCCGCCTCAGCCCCTCCTCAGCCCCGCCTCCCCACTCAGCCCCACCTCCCCACTCAGCCCCATGGCCCTCACCTGGACCCACCTCACCCCCCACCTCCCCACTCAGCTCCACCTCGCCACTCAGCCCCACCTCCCCACTCAGCCCCACCTCGCCACTCAGCCCCACCTCCGCACTCAGCCCCACGGCCCTCACCTGGACCCACCTCATCCCCACCTCCCCTCTCAGCCCTGCCTCAGCCATGCCTCCCCACTGAGCCCCGCCTCAGCCCCGCCTCCCCACTCAGCCCTGTGTAAGTCCCGCCTCCCCACTCAGCCCTGCCTCAGCCCCACCTCCCCACTCAGCCCCATGGCCCTCACCTGGACCCACCTCACCCCCCACCTCCCCACTCAGCTCCACCTCCCCACTCAGCCCCACCTCGCCACTCAGCCCCACCTCCGCACTCAGCCCCACGGCCCTCACCTGGACCCACCTCATCCCCACCTCCCCACTCAGCCCCGCCTCAGCCCCACCTCAGCCCCGCCTCCCCACTCAGCCCCGCCTCCCCACTCAGCCCCACCTCAGCCATACCTCAGCCCCGCCTCCCCACTCAGCCCCACCTCAGCCCCACCTCCCCACTCAGCCCTGCCTCAGCCATGCCTCCCCACTGAGCCCCACCTCCCCACTCAGCCCCACGGCCCTCACCTGGACCCACCTCACCCCACCTCCCCACCTCAGCCCCACCTCAGCCCCACCTCCCCACTCAGCCCCACCTCAGCCCACCTCCCCACTCAGCCCCGCCTCAGCCAGGCCTTCCCACTCAGCCCCTCCTCAGTCACACCTCCGCACTCAGCCCTGCCTCAGTCACGCCTCCCCACTCAGCCCCACCTCAGCCCCACCTCCCCACTCAGCCCCGCCTCCCCACTCAGCCCCGCCTCCCCACTCAGCCCCGCCTCCCCACTCAGCCCCGCCTCAGCCATGCCTCCCCACTGAGCCCCGCCTCCCCACTCAGCCCCGCCTCAGCCCCACCTCCCCGATCAGCCCCACGGCCCTCACCTGGACCCACCTCACCCCCACCTCCCCACTCAGCCCCACCTCCCCACTCAGCCCCACCTCAGCCCCACCTCTCCAGTCAGCCCCACCTCCCTCATCTGGACCCGCCTCAGCCCCACCTCCCCACTCAGACCCACCTCCCTACTCAGCACACATAACAATATTTTGGTCAATGATAGATCACATATACAACAGCAGTTTCATAACTTAATAGTTTATTTTATTGTAGCATTTCCATGTCAAAATGTATTTGGATATGTAAATTGGATATGTAAATACATTTGGATATGTAAAACTATCCATTGTGCTATACTTGCCCATGGTATTCAGTGCAGGACCATGCTGTACAGGTCTGTAGCCTGGGACCCATATTTTTATTTTACAGATTTCTTTTTTGAGTCAGAGTCTTGCTCTGTTGCCCAGGCTGGAGTGCAGTGGTGTCATCGTGGCTCACTGCAACCTCCCTGGTCCAAGCAATTCTCCTGCCTCGGCCTCTCAAGTAGCTGGGATTATAGGCATGTATCACCATGCCTGGCTAATTCTTGTATTTTTAGTAGAGAAAGGGTTTCACCATGTTGGTCAGGCTGGTCTCAAAACTCCTGACCTCAAGTGATCTGCCTGCCTCGGCCTCCCAAAGTGCTGGGATTACAGGCGTGAACCACCCTGTCTGGCCCCATATTCTATATCATACCTTTAATGTATAGTAAGCTATGCCATCCAGGTTCATGTCATTATACTCCCTCATGTTTGTACAAAGAAAGATGTAATTGCCTAATAAAGCCTCTTTCAGAAGAGAATCCAGGTCTGATGTGATGCATGATTGAATTAGTGACAGGAAAATGTGACTTTTGCTATTTTCAGTTTTTCCTTTCTGTGGCTTTTTTTGTCTTTCATATCCACAGTTACTATTTTTTTTTTTTGGTGTGTTTGTATGATTTTTATAAGTGACATTGGGATTCCCATATCATTTCCTCTTAAGTGTATTCTATAGTTATTTGTGGTTGCTGTGAGGATGACATACAACTTTATAAAGTTATAACAATTTACTTTGAATCAATACTAACCTACCAATATTTCATAAAAAACTTTCCTTTTCCACAGGGCTTCTCTTTACCTCACCTTACTTTTGTCAGTAAAATTATATACTATGTACATATTTAGTGTTATTTGCATACATTTATATTTTAAATCTGGAGGAGATAATTGGAGTACAAATGTGAATTTCAAAAATACATTTTTTTCATATTTTGTCCTATATATAGAGTCTAGCAGTCTTTATACCTCTTCATTGGTTTGCGTTACTGTCTACTTTTATTTAAACCTGAAGTACTGACTTTAGCATTTTTTTTCTTTTTTTTTTCTCTGAGACGGAGTCTCACTGTGTTGCCCAGGCTGGAGTGCAATGGTGCAATCTTGGCTCCCTGCAACCTCCGCCTCCCGGGTTCAAGCGATTCTCTTCCCTCAGCCTCCTGAATAGCTGAGATTACAGGTGCAGGCCAGAACAGCTGGCTAATTTTACATGTTTAGTGGAGATGAGATTTCACCATGTTGGCTATGGTGGTTTTAAACTCCTGACCTCAAGTGATCTGCCCACCACGGCCTCCCAAATTGCTGGGATTATGGGCGTGAACCACTGCTCCCAGCCTCACTTTAGCATTTCTTATAGAAAAAAAATAGTGAAATGAGGAATTGGAGGTTATAGAATTTTGTTACATCCCATGTGTTACCAATTTAAGCTTTAAAACATTCTAAGTAACTTTTATTTATTTTTTTTTAATTTATTTATTTTGAGACGGAGTCTCGCTCTGTCGCCCAGGCTGGAGTGCAGTGGCACGATCTCAGCTCACTATAAGCTCCGCCTCCCAGGGTCACGCCATTCTCCTGCCTCAGCCTCCTGAGTAGCTGGTACTATAGGTGCCCGCAGCCGCACCCAGCTAATTTTTTGTATTTTTAGTAGAGATGGGGTTTCACCGTGTTAGCCAGGATGGTCTCGATCTCCTGACCTCGTGATCCACCCGCCTTGCCCTCCCAAAGTGCTGGGATTACATGTGTGAGCCACAGTGCGTGGCCTTTCTTTTTTAGATAAAGTTTTTGTGAAAATGAAGGATAAACAAGTGGAGTAAGCCTGTAGCAGATTTACTATTTATAAATGACTGTTCTAATTATTACTTCACATCTTGGGGAAAAAAATGTCACGCATGCTAAGAAAATCTGAAATTCTTTGGCATTACATACTTGACTAATGAGCTTAATTTTTGATTATGTCAATCAACTTTACAAGATGTGAAATAATCATTACTTAGTCTAGGAACATTGAGGTGGAACAGGAAGGCAGCAATCGAAATGAGCTTTGCGGCATGCTAAGTGTGACTGTCCGTTAGGCACTAAGGTAGAGATGCAGTCAATATGATGATTCATTCTGGAGTTTTGGAGAAAAAGCTGAGCTACAGATATTGATTTACAGTTTCTTGGCCTAGAGGTTGTATTTAAAGCCATGAGAATATTTGACATCAAGGAAATGAGTGAAGACAGAAAACAGTCCAGAGATCACCCAAAGGTCTTCCAAAGTTTATGGCCTCTTCCAATTTTAAGAAATAAATCATTTTAGGAAATATTGTAAACTACGAAACTTGGCAGGATATTTCTCAGCTGAAATACGTGGCTTAAGGAAACCCCTCTAATGGGGTTAAGTCAGTGCAGGGTAAACGCATTGGGAAATGTGCACAGGTCATAAACATCTGTCAATCTCAAAGTGCTTTGCCCAGTAGCCCATGACATTGTCCCAACTTTTCAAAAAGTTGTCTGGAATGAAATGTTATGTTCTTGACCAACTGATTAAATTTGTACCCCTACAAAGTATAGGAACAATTAGGTGTCTTTGTAAGAATTATTCCTGAAAGTTACCAAAGTTTGAAAGCATCATGCTATTTTACATACTGTTTTCAAAAGATTTTTGAAATTTTGGATAATTAGATGTATTTGCAATTTTGAAATTAATTTGACAATAACATGTAATGGCTTTTGGATATTTTATATTAGTGTCCCTTTTTAAATGTACGAAATATTTCAAAAGACTGAGTAGAACAAATTAATAGTATATTTTTAGGTCCTAATATTTGCTCTATATGGAGCTGATATTCAGGAGAATGTGACCAGTCAATGGTGTCTTTGGTGTCCTGCTCCACCACAGCCCAGCAAGGCCACTGCTGATACTGGGCACACAGGAGGTCAAGGCCTGGCTCTCAGCCTTGAAACAATGTGGGAAGTTTCCTTTTATGTACAAGATCTAATTGACAAAAGAGCATGTGTTTGTATTTCCCAAGCAGAATTGTGCTCAACTCTCTTCTTCTAACCTCCCCCATATCTGACTTCTCATTATTTATCCTGGATGGGTGCCCTCCCACCTCCCTAACCATTAACCCACAGGGATGCTGCATCCCTAGGTTGCTGGAGCTCCAATTTGCGATGCTGGAGGGAGGCCATAGATTGTTGGTCATCCTGTCAATATGGCTTGTGTTCAGGTTCTATGCTGTGTGTTTTCCTCTTTCTGAAAGAGCTAAAGACAGACTAACTGATAAATACTGGTCACTTGCTCCTCCTCTAGAGGCTGCAAACTCCACCCACTCTCACCTCAAAAATGTATATAAAATATTTATCTACTCTGCCCCAAACTTATAGGCAAATCAATTTTTGGCCCTAATGAAGTAGAAGGAAAAGAAACACACAAGTGTGTAGAAAGGAGTAGGAAAAGAACCTTTAAGGAAAACATTCAATTACTTCAAGATAAAATTTATTTTCTTTGCTTTCTGGACTATGGATGTATGTAGCTAACTGAAGTTGCCAAGCAGGAGGGATTTAACCAGAGGCCGTGTGTCCACCAGCATCGAGACATCCTCTGCATCACCATCCACACGCAGGGCTTCTGCTAGATGTCGTGCAACACCCTCTCTGCTAATATTCATCTGAAAATGGATAATCAGGGTGGTCCACAAGACTGAAAAGAGAAATGATAGTACATAATATGGATGAAATGACTCTATTAAAAAGCTGGTAGCAAAGTGATTTCTAGGACGCTGCCATTAGTGTGAATGTTAAGTTTATTTTCAATTTGTAGAATCTGTCTTTCATGAACATGACTTTATAATGTGGTTTTTTTTTCCAAATTAAGAGCATTTTCAACTTATATTCCCTTGCCTGGAATTTATCACACAAACTACACAGGGTCAGTTGTTCAAACATAGTCTTCCATATCTGTCAACAGAGCAAAGAGATACTCTGACCTTTTCTATTTCAAATTCTCAATGAAAGCAGCAACTCATTCTGCATTGTTTTGAATAGAAACAAGCCAGCTATATGTTCATCACTAAGTTTTGAGGGTTAAATGTTCTTGGTAGCAATCACACATCCTTTAAAGTATTCATTACTGACTAGCTGCTTACCATATGGAAAATATTTTCGATTCAGACATGTAAACTGTCCTATGTGATATGAGGTTCCATATCCAAAACTCTACAATATAAGGGCAATCTTTAGGTGGAAATAACACAAAATAGAATGAATAAATGATTAATATTGAATAATTGGTGAGAATTACTGATGTTTGCCACTCTTCATTTCCTTTTCCTGATTTCCTATTTTACTATTTTCCTCTAAACTAATAAAAATGTATACAATGATATTTAAAAACGTTTGAGTTCTTACGGCGTGCTGCTGTGTTTATCTTTTTTAATACATTATTTCATGTCTATTACCTGTTAACATCGCCACTGCAAGCAGTGACATAACTTGTTTTTCCCTCATCACGTGAGTGCCTTTCTGTTAATCCTAGAACCTTGGAGCATATAGAAAAAGAGTAAGATCTTTTGTCAGCTATATATTATCCCCAAAGATGGGACTTTCCAACTCTTCCCTTGATTTTTTTTTTTTAATGATGGAATCTTGCTCTGTTGCCCAGGCTGGAGTGCAGTGGCACAATTTCGGCTCACTGCAACCTCTGCCTCCCAGGTTCAAGGGATTCTCCTGCCTCAGCCTCCTGAGTAGCTGGATTTACAGGTGTATGCCACCACGTATGGCTAATTTTTGTATTTTTAGTAGAGACAAGGTTTCTCCATTTTGGCCAGGCTGGTCTGAAACTTCTGACCTCAAGTGATCCACCTGCCTTTGCCTCCCAGAGTGTTGGGATTATAGGCATGAGCCACTGAGCCTGGCTCTTCCCTTGACTTTTAATCTCTCTTCTCTAAAACTTCTTTATAGTCTGCATTTAGATTTCCATATTGGAAAAAAACTCAAAGCCAAGAGTTCTAACGCCCACTAAGGGCAAACTTTCTGGAGGCAAAATGCAGTGTTTGGGTCATGAGCAAATGTCTGAAGAGAAGGAAGAAAGAAATTTGAAAAGGGTAAAGATACTGAATTGACATGATCTAGTGAGCAATTCCACACGGAAGAGATGAATTTCTGGCATGGACACCAATGTTGTTGGAAATGTTTATCTGATAAGGAACTGAGCGGATTTGGAAGAAAAAGCTGTAAGTACAGATTTGGAAAAACATGTAATCAAGCCATGTGCACAATATCCAATTTGTCCACTAGGCCATAGCAGAAATGCCAGGCCAACATGAAAGGTGCTGATTCAGCAATAATATTGGCTGCTCTGGAAATTTTCAGGGAGTCAGGAGAGCAGAGGCACAGGTTGACCCATGCTGACCCTGGGCCCGCTCACCCTGTCAGAGAACAGAGCTCTGGAGTGAATCCAGAAGGAGAGTTCCAGAGTTCCTGTCTCACCTCTGACACATTGGCCTCTGTCTCCCTGGTATTAAGGTCACTTTTCACACCCATTTGACATTCCTCCTCTAAAAATAAACTTGGCAACCCATTTTCCAAAGTTACTTACAAATCCATGACAACATATCGAAAATTTCTGTTTAGGTCATCTAGAACTTTCATATCCTCTGAAGTCAACTGGAATTCAAAAACCTACCAAAGAAGTAGAAAATTTTTGTTGTTAGATTGCATAATTGTCAACTTGGAATAGCCAAGTATATCACAGCAGGGTGTAGAGGCAATATGTAAAATATTTGATGAGTTTCCAAAAGTTATGAAAGATCAGCTCTAAACTCTCGAGTGATTAAAGAATATCAGGTAAAATATAAATCCATTCCTAGATATTATATATTGAAACTGCACAAAACTGCAGACAAAGAAGATCTCAACAGAAGCTGGAGATGGAATGAAGTTGACCTGGTGTGTGCATGATTGGCTCATGTACTTAGAAGATTTAGAAGAATCTAGAGGGAAAATTTTGAAACTTATAATTTAGAGAGTTTGGTGGCGATACAATTTGGATATCTGTATCCTAATCTCATGTTAAAAACGTGATTCAGCAATGATGGAAGTGGGTCCTGGTGGGAGGTGTTTGTGCCATGGGGGCATCCTTCATGAATGGCTGGGTGCCCTCCCCATGGTAATGAGTGTTCACTGCATTAAGTCACATGAAATCTGGTTTAAAAAGGAGACTGACATTTTCTTTGTTTCCTCTTCATCTCTTGCTATTTGATATGCTTCCTCCTCTGTCACCTACCATGAGTAAATGCTTCCTGAGGCCTCACCAAAACCAAATTGGTGCCATGATTTTTGTACACTCTGCAAAATGGTAAGCCAAATAAACCACCTTCCGGCATATTTTATCTGGCCTCAGGTATTTCTTTATAGCAGTGCACAATGGACTAATATGGAAAATTGTTACTAGGAGTGGGACATTGCTAAAAATGTCTGAAAATGGGGTAGTGGCTTTAGAACTGGGTAACTAGCACAGTTTGGAAGTGTCGGGAGGGTTCAGAAGAAAATGGGAAGATAAAGGATAGTTTGGAACTTGCTCTGCATTGGTTAAATGATTCTGACCAAAATGCTGATAAAAATATGGGCAATGAAGTCTAGGCTAATGAGGTCTAAGACCAAAATCAGAAACTTATTAAAAACTGGAACAAAGATCACCCTTGTTATACCTTAGGAAAGAACTTGGCTGCATTGTGTCCATTCCAGGACTTTGTGGAAGTCTGAACTTAGTGATGATTTAAGGGTTTCTGGTGGAAGAAATTTCTAAGCAGGAAGACATTCAACAGATAGTGTGACTGCTTCTAACAGCCTATGATCAGGTATGGGAGCAAAGGAATGACCTAATGTTGGAATTTAAAGCTTCCTGAAGCCTCTCCAGAATCTGGTGCTATGCTTTTTGTACAGCCTGTAAATTGTGAGCCAAATATAGCTCTTTTCTGTATAAATTGCCCAGCATCAAGTATTTTTTTATAGCAGCACAAAATGGACTAATACAGATGGATATTGTTGGATTTCTATATTTCTGTATTTGTCCCCATGACATAAACAGCCCCAACCAGACCCCACTTCCATCATTGAGGATAACTTCTTTTTTTAAGTTCTAGGGTACATGTGCACAACGTGCAGTTTTGTTACATATGTATACATGTGCCATGTTGGTGTGCTGTACCCATTAACTCGTCATTCACATTAGGTATATCTCCTAATGCTATCCCTCCCGCTTCCCCCCTCCCCACAATAGGCCCTGGTGTGTGATGTGTTCCTCTTCCTGTGTCCAAGTGATCTCATTGTTCAATTCACACCTATGAGTGAGACCATGTGGTGTTTGGTTTTCTGTTCTTGTGATAGTTTGCTGAGAATGATGGTTTCCAGCTGCATTCATGTCCCTACAAAGGACACGAACTAACCTTTTTTGCATTTTAAAATGAGATTAGAAGGAGACAAATATCCAAACTCTGTATCATCATCAAACTATCTAAATCATGAGTTTCAAAATTGTTCTCTAGATTCTTAATCTTATAAGTACATGAACCAGTCATGTACACACAAGTTTATTTCATCTCTAGTATTTGTTGAGATCCTCTTTGTGTTTAGAGTTGTACAGTTTCACATCAGATATAGAAATACTGAAATCGAAATATATTCATCTGATTTCCATCTTCAATGAACAGGTATAATGTGAAAATTGTTTTCAACAAGATTCGAGACAGTAATTGTCCAAACCCTAATAACATCATGCTCAAAGAAAACAAGTAGTTGCTTGAAGAGGATCTCAGTATTCAAATTGGAAAGAATTTAAATATCAAAAGATGTCACTAATTGCTAGCATAATACTAAATTACTAAATTTTATTGGAATACTCTAATACAGAGAATAAGAGGAAAAGAGAAAGTCATCAATTTAACAATTGATGAATCTAGGTAAGAAGCATTCATTGTATTCTTAGAATATTTGCATAGATTAGAAAATTCTCAAGTTATCCAAAGACTATTAAAACTATACGTTTTCTATGAATAAATCTAGGAAAACATACACAAATGCCTTAAGAATGCTATGTAACATAATTTAGACAGTACAGGAAAGTTAACTCTGAAAGAAGGGAAATGTCAGAAGTACTTATGGACACTTTATGACAGGATGAAAAATCAAGATAGGTGAGCAAATATGGACTTTTCAATAATACTTAGACATTTTAGTATTAAGTGAAAATTATATGTACATTTGCATCCTTATTTCACATATTAAAAATCAAATTATCCCAATTTATGAAAGTACATTAATACTTTTATAAGATATTAATAGAATATAGTATATTACTTTGTATTACTATATAATATTTTACTACATAATATAGTAACGTATTGTCATGTTTCCAATATAGGAAAAGTCATGATATTAACAACTACAAGACAATATCATAAAGAATTTGACTACGTTAAGAGTAGAAACTTTTGTTAAAACCACCATAAAGAGAATCAAAACACGGGTACATTTTGGGAGAGGCTATTTCAACAATACATATGAAGCTCTAAAGAATATCCAGAATACAAATTCTGGATTAATTCTGCAGAGCTGCCTCATTGCCCTGCACACACGTGAGACAGCCCAGCCAGGAACAGAACTAGACTGAGTTCAGGTGGAGCTTAGGCTAAATTACAAACCATGAAATTGTCAGTTAAATAAATGGTTTTCTATTAAACCTCTATGTTTGAGAGGTTTTCTTTTTTATAATTTTACTTAGTATTATGTTTTTCTACACATAGAAAAAGGCAGGCAACCTAATAAAAATACCCAAAGACTTCAACAGGCACTCAAAAAATAATTCTAAGAGAATAAATACATGAAATTTATACGGAATAAACAAGGGCATGAAGAAAAAATCTGCAATGATTTGAAGACTAGAGAACACCTAACCCAACTCATTTCAGAAAATGAAGACAAGGTGATGTCCCTAGCAGAGGGATACAGAGTAAGTTGCCAACTTTATGCCAAAATTTCTGGTTTTGGTCCCATCCTGATTCTCTCCACCCATGCTGCCCCTCCTAGAGTATAATAGAAAACCCTTATGATGCACACAAAGCATTTGTACATAGGAAATGCCCAGGAGATGGACTTAGTGCAAGGGTGTCCTGAGAAGCTTACAAGAAGCACACATGTGAAGGACACCATGCAGGAGCCCTGACGCCCACTCAGCTCCTCACCTGGACATTTTCTCTGATCCGCTGCTCATTGTAGCTCTTGGCCAGGACCACAACCCCACGCTGCAGCTGGTAGCGCAGGGCAATCAGGGCTGGGGATCGTTTGTGTTTCTTTGCTAAGGCGCAAAGAACTGGGTCCTCCAAAAGAGCTGGGGAGTTCTGGTCCACCCTGGAAGGAAAGCCAGAAATGCTGAAGTCTTGAGGCTGGATTCAGTTTGGTAGGAGGCTCCCTAAACAGACTAAGGTGTTCATTCTGCACCAGAGCCTCTCAAGTGAGGCCCCTGAACAATAGCATCACCTGGGATCTCATCAGAAATGCAAATTCTCCCCGTACACTGATTCACTGAGAGTGAACTCCAGGAGACTGAGTAGGAGTCTCCTACTCAGGAGGATAATTAAACTTTTTCATCAAAATGGAATTTTAGGTAAACTTCCTGTTGCTTTTATTACCATAGTTTATGTCGTTGGGTTCCCAGAGCACTATGGGCAACCAGGACAATGTCTTTTGACTTGCAGAAATCCAGCAGTTTGCTCTGGTTGAGGTAAGGATGACATTCCACCTGTAGATGAGCAAGATGGAAAAGCATCAGATAATTCAAAACATATGTTAATATAAAGATTAAAATAAGCTGAATAAAGTATAACATTAAATTTGAACTGAGAATATTACTGTCAAGTAATGATCTTTTTAATAAAAACACATTTTATATTGCTGTCCTAAAAGTATACACAGAAATGTTATTTCTGAGCATAAGCAACTCTATGAACCAAAGTCAGGTTCTAACAACCTTTGACCACTAGAATTGCATATGGCCAATTCCAGACTTGGGATAGGTTAAGATTCTCAGCTTTGAACATCAAATTGTGCCAGAATGTAAGAATTTCTTTAAAGACTTATGAGGTCAGATTTAAAAGAAAAAAGTAGTTTTACAGGAATCTCAGTAATATTTGTGTAGATTTGAGCATCAAAAACCAATAATGAATAAAAATCACATAGGAAAACAATCCATGTCTTCATAGTGTTGAGTGGTTAAAAGTGATCAAAAGTATTTGCCTTCACCAATGGTGATTGATATGTTTTGGCTCTGTGTCCCCACCCAAATCTCATTTTGTAGCTCTCATAATTCCCACATGTTGTGGAAGGGGGTCTTATCTGTGTTCTCATGATAGTGAATAAGTCTCTCAAGATCTGATGATTTTAAAAATGGGTTTCCCTGCACAAGCTGTCTCTTTGCCTGCTACTATCTATGTAAGATATGACTTGTTCCTCTCTGCCTTCTGCCATGATTGTGAGGCGTCCCCAACCATGTGAAGCTGTAAGTCCATTAAACCCCCCTTTTCTTCCCACTCTTGAGTATGTCTTTATCAGCAGCATGCAAATGGACCAATATGGTAACTTCGTACCAGTACAGTGGGGCGTTGCTGAACGATACCTGAAAATGTGGAAGTGACTTTGGAACTGGGTAACATGCAGAGGTTGTAACAGTTTGGAGTCCTCAGAAGAAGACAGAAAAATATAAGAATATTTGAAACTTTCTAGAGACTTGTTGAATATCTTTGACAAAAATGCTGCTAGTAATATGAACAATAAGGTCCAGGCTGAGGTGGTATCAGAGATGGGGAACTTGTTGGGAACTGGAGCAAAGGTGACTCTTGTTATGTTGTAGCAGAGAGTGGTGGCATTTTGTCCCTGCCCTAGAGACTTGTGGAACTTTGGATTTGAGAGAGATGATTTAGGGTATCTGGTCAAAGAAATTTCTAAGCAAAGCATTCAAGAAATGACTTGGGTGCTGTTAAAAGTTTTAAAACTTTTAAAACCAGTTTTAAAAGGGAAACAACATAAAAGTTCAGAAAATTTGCAGTCTGGTGATGTAGTAAAAATTAAAAACCCATTTTCTGAGAAGAAATTCAAGCCAGTTGCAGAAATTTGCATAAGTAACAAGGAGCCAAATATTAATCACCAAGACAATGGGGAAAACGTCTCCAAGGCATGTCAGACACCCTTGTGGCAGCCCTTCTCATGGCAGGCCCAGAGCTGGAGGCCTAGGAGGAAAAAATGGTTTCATGGGCTGGGCCCAGGGTCTCCATTCTGTGTGCAGTCTAGGGACTTGGTGCCCTGCATCCCAATCACTCCTGCTGTGACTAAAAGGGGCCAAAGTACAGCTCAGGCTGTGGCTGCACAAGGTGCAAGTCCTAAGCCTTTGGCAGCTTCTATGTGGTGTTGAGCCTACGGGTGCACAGTAGTTAAGAATTGAGGCAAGGGGCCAGGCGTGGTGACACATGCCTTTAATCCCAGCACTCTGGGAGGCTGAGGCAGGCAGATCACAAGGTCAGGAGTTTGAGACCAGCCTGACCAAGATGGTGAAACCCCATCTCTACTAAAGATGCAAAAATTAGCCAGGTGTGGTGGTATGTGCCTGTAATCCCAGCTACTCAGGAGGCTGAGGCAGAAGAATCACCTCAACCTGGGAAGTGGTGGTTGCAGTGAGCTGAGATCGTGCCACTGCACTCCAGCCTGGGCCTGGGTGACAGCAGCACTCTGTTTCAAAAAAAAAAAAAAATTTGAGGTTTGGGAACCTCCACCTAGATTTCAGATTTCAGAGGATGTACAGAAATGCCTGGGATATCCAGGCAGAAGTTTACCACTATGCCCGTGCTCTCATGGTGAACCTCTGCTAGGGCAGTGCTCTGGAGTCAGAGCCCCCACACAGAGTCCCTGCTGGGGCACCACCTGATGGAGCTGTGAGAAAAGGGCCACTATCCTCCAGACCCTAGAATGGTAGATCCACTGACAGCTTGCACTGTGCACCTGGAAAAGCTGCAGACACTCGATGCCAGTCCATGAAAGCAGCCAGAAGGGAGGCTGTACCCTGCAAAGCCACAGGAGTGGAGCTGCCCAAGAACATAGGAACCACCTCTTACATCAGCATGGATGTGAATGGAGTTCCATTGACTCCTGGATGTGAAACATGGAGTCAAAGGAGATCATTTTGAAGCTTTAAAATTTGACTGCCCTGCTGGATTTCAGACTAGCATGGGTCCTGTAGTCCCTTTTTTGGCCAATTTCTCCCACAGGGAACAGCTGTATTTACCCAATACCTGTACCCCCATTGTATCTTGGAAGTAACTAACTTGCTTTTGAGTTTACAGGCTCATAGGTGGAAGGTACTTGCCTTGTCTCAGATGAGACTTTGGACTGTGGACTTTCGATCTAATGCTGAAATGAGTTAAGACTTTGGAAAACTGTTGGGAATGCATGATTGGTTTTGAATTGTGAGGACATGAGATTTGGGAGGGGTTGGGGTGGCATGATATGGTTTGGGTATGTGTCCCCACCCAAATCTCATCTTGTAGCTCCCATAATTCCCATGTATTGTGGGAGAGACCTGGTGGGAGATAATTAAATCATGGGGGCAGGTCTTTCCCGTGATGTTCTTGAGATAGTGAGTAAGTCTCATGAGATCTGATGGTTTTATAAGGAGGAGATTTCCTGTACAAGTTCTTTCTTTGCCTGGTGCCATCTGTGTAAGATGTGACTTGCTCCTCCTTGCCTTCTGCCATGATTGTGAGACCTCCCCAGCCATATGGAACTTTAAGTCCATTAAACCTCTTTTTCTTCCCAGTCTCGGATATGTCTTTATCAGTAGCATGAAAATGGACTAATACAGTGATCATTACAGTAATTTTTTTCCAGGACATGAATAATTAAAGGGAAAGAGTTAAGCTTTTTAGCATATCCAAGAGGAGTAATTGTTTCTTGACTTAGTGAAAAAAATTTTTTCATAATAAAATGTAAAGTGAGAACAGTAAACTTGTAGTTAAAATTGAAAGTAATTACTTTAAAGCCCCCAGGAAAGAACAAATACAATAATAATGCAATACAAAAATTTAAAACATCATTAATGTATACTCAATCATTATGTGAAAATTTGCTGTGGAATATAACTTTCCCTTTTGATTATTTTCACCCAGCAGATTACTGGCAATTGCTAAGGGGAGAACACGTGTCTCTGGAAATTATTGTTATTTCCTTATATATAATAATTGCAGTGTTACTGGGAGAATATCTTCATTCCTATGCCATGCTTTGAAAGGTCTGTAGAGGTGAATTGTGATCATTACAATATATTTTGAAGAGATTCAACAAAGACTACATGTATTGATGCAGATCTACTCATATATACCTATATATTTGCCAGGTTGGCAAAGTGTCAACAATTTTGGATATAGATGGTAACATGTAGATGTCCTGTATTATCCCTTCAAATTTCTCTAAAATTTGAAAATGTCATAATAAAAAAATTGAGTAAAACTAATATTAAAACCACATTAATTCCTTAACTTTTTAATTGGCAATCAAGATTTTGTATTATATTACCAAATACATAAATTTTAAATACTACATGTTTCAGCTGTAGACCTGTACTCATTGACTCTAAGTAGTAAAAGAGTAAGTTAGAGAACCAGAACCATATGCAGAATAGATGCTTCTCAACAGTTGATTTGATGACAGAAAGCAAAGAGGTGCATCAAAATTAGATGTGGGCAGTCACAAGGTCGGCTCAATGTTCTGCTAAATTTTCCTCAGTGTTGATTTCATCCACCACAACTAGTGATCTCCATAAATAGTTAACTCTCTTTTTTTCAGTCTTTAAAGTTTTATTTCACCAACTTCGCGTCAAATTTCCGCAATTGCGTTCTGGTTAATTTAGTATACTTGCTTGACTTCCCAAAATGATAGTACTGAAATATTTGTGGGGTAGGGAGAAGAGACCACTTGAAGCATCACTGCATTTACTCATCTTCCACACAGCCACAGAGTTGGGCATCTGATTGTTCGATTAAACGAAGCTTTGACAGCACGCAGGAGGGCATACGGGATCTGATTGTTCAATGAAATGAAGCTTTGACAGCACGCAGGAGGGGCATACAGGAAAACCAGGCTTAGACAGTCTTGCATTTGTCAAAATCAGACCAGAGAAAATCTATTCCACATATATAGAAAAGGTATCATATTCATCTTTTTATATTACTGCAATATTTTTCTTTTCATTGTCACATCATGGAGTTTCTCAAATCCTTTATTTCATGTCCTATGATTGCACAGGTAGGCGGCAAATGCCAAGGAGTGGATGAGCTCAGTTCAACCATTGCTAACAATTTCTCAATTTCTGAGAGAGACGAGTTCTTCAAGTCTAGTTTCTTAGCACCCGTAAGTACAGGGACATCTTTATTTTCTTATACCCTATTTTATAAAGTTCAGTTTTGACTTCTTCCATTCTTTCAACATCAACAGAGTCCACAGCAAACACAATGCCATCTGTGCATCTTGCATATGGCTTCTACAGTGTTCCTCATTTCCCCTGACCACCTACATCTCAGGAGTGAAAAGTGACTGTTTTAGAATTTTCCAAGGTTACCTTAATTTTTCAGTGTTAAATCCTTTGGTGGGTATGGTATTTACAAATTTATTGAATAGCAGCCTGTATAAAACAGTTCTTCCAGCACAGTCCAAACACGAAATAACAATGTGGAAGGACTGAAATGAACGGCAGGATGG